CTGAATGCAGAAGAAACTGTTCCTGCTGTTTACTTTGACACAATTTAAAGACCTTATCTTTGTGAAATCTTTCCTATTACTGGGTTTTTTCCTTTCGGGCAGGGGGAGGGGTGGGCGGAATTAATCCTCTGAGAAACAAAATAGAAAAAGAAGTCTGACTGAGTCTTAAAATGTTATTGGCTCTTAGCTATCCATATAGTCATTTAGATAGAGTAAACATATCAATATCTTTTCCTGCACATGAAGTACTGCTATTTTGCTTCCCCATGCCAACCTCTGAAAGCTGCTTATAGCCCCTGCAAATGTACACTGCTTGAACTTCTGAGGCTTCAGGTATACCAGTGGCTATTTGTGCATGTTCTGTGGAGTAGTCGGCCCAAAGCAGTACAGGGTTTTCACATCCGGTAAAAACGGTGAAAGCGAAGTCTCATGGATTTCTGACAAGAACCAAACACTGTTGTGGTTTTGTAGAAGATGCATCAGATGACAGGTAGGCTGTAAAAATATTCATTCATATAAAAATATTTGCTTGTTTGCTTTGAATACATGTATAGCCAAAAGCAGATGTTTCCTCAAAACAAGTGTAAATCAGATCAGAAACTGAGGAAAACAGAGACTGACTCCATGTATTTCTGAACACTAAAATGCAGCAACAGAAGCTGCTAGCAGAACTGTGTCTTCAGATATTCCAAACACTGTATTGAGCCCAAGTAATTAACTGAGGGAAAAATGCAGTGTGCTTGGTATGCAGTCTTTGTAGCATGCATATTCCTATAGGCCTATATCAGCCACTGGGTTGCAGACCAGCACTTAGCCACTAGCCTCCTTTTTAGCAGCAAGAAACAGTGCAGGGTTGTCTTAGGGAAGTGTTCACCCATCAGGAGTGATGAACTGTGTCCAGAAGTAATGTTAGTACTTGTGCCCACTCTGGTGTCTTACACAGCAGACAACTGTCCAGGTCTGCACTGGAATCTGATGAAGAGGGTTTGAGAGGTTAGGGAGCGAAGGTTGTGAATACAAGCAGTCCCTGAGGTGAACAGAGCAGCCCAAATCCAGTGCGGTCCCATTTGTTATCTGTCATCGGCAACAAAGGTTGAGAAATTCCTGCCTTGCATGGAGGAGACACTTGTCATGGATGCTCCTAAGTAGAATGCAGCTCCAGTGACAGTTTTGAGAACGATTTCATCTGACCTCAAGGGCCCATGTGTGTCTAAGGGAGGAGACACATGGCTTTATCAAGGAATTTGAAGGTGAGGGGAAACAGAATTACGTGGGCACATAATACAAACTAAACGCTGTACAGCACAGAATCACTAGGATAGTGTACAACTTGAGCTAACCCATGGCCCAGTGATAATCAGGGAATACAGTTCCTCTCGGTTACACCTGAGAAATGGAGCTAATGGCTTTCTGTGGTTGTTCTGGCTTTCTTAGGTAACGCAGCTGGCAAGTTACTTCGAACCCCTGGTTTTAGCTGCAGTTGGCGTGGCATCCAAGACACTAGACCATCAGCAACAGATGACAGTGTTGGACCAGAGCAAGACGCTAGCAGAATCTGCCTTACAGATGTTGTATGCCGCCAAAGAAGGGGGAGGAAACCCCAAGGTATGGTTGCCACGTGTAACTAAGGGATTACTGGAGATGGGCAAGGGGAGCGGGCAGGTGCGCAAGGGGAGAGGGCAGGCAGGGCACAAAACACAGGACCTACCTACTGCACGGCTCAAGGATATGTTTGCAGTGAAAATGCCATTGATGGCTCTCCTGACATCTCTCATTGGAGAGTGGAAACACCTGTCAAAGACAGGATTCCAGTCCGGCTCACAGCATTCTCGCACGGGAAACAAAGTCAGGGTCTGATGGCAAATATCTGTGCACTGCTACAGACAATAGCAAATATCTGAGCACTACTACAGACACCAGCCGGTTAAAAGACAGGGCCTGTCTGCTACACAGCCTGATGGGTGGGGGCCCACTGGCCCTGATGCTTGTGGGGGATGCCCCACACCACCCAGAAGAAAGCACAGGGCATGCTTTCTGCCACTGACCTCCACGGGGAAGCACACACCATCCCACAAGCCACCCTAAAGCAGAAGGAACGTGCACAACCCAGACCTCATCCCTTCTCCCAGTGGGCAGCCAGCCATGCACTGTCCTGCCCCCGAGGTCATGACACACCACGCCCCGTGCTGTTCAAAAAATGCACGATAGGGCACACGCCCCCCAATGTGCTTTCACGTATGTCACAACCCCCTCCAGCGGTACCTTGCCCCTAGGGGTGCTCCCGGCATTTGCAGCATGCTTCCCGTGCCTTTCCCTGGGGGACGCCATCACACGCTGCTTCTTTTAGAGCTTGCTGCGCCCACCTTTCTCTGAGGGGTGACGGCACGTGACACTTCTTGTACAGGTGGCATTACACGATGCTTTCCTTCTGGTGCACATCATGTGCCTGCATAGCACAGCTGGCCTTGCGCAATGCTTCCTCCTCTTGCGTGCCCTTATAGAGAGCCATCAGCACATGACACTTCTTCCTCTGGTGTGCTCCACACACCTTTATAGTCATTGGCATGCAACGCTTCTTCCTCTGGCACACTCCGTGCGCCCGAGTAGAGAGCCGCCAGCACATGATACTTCTTCCTCTGGCGTGCTCCATGCGCCATTATAAAAAGCCGCTGGTACACGATGCTTCTTCCTCTGGCACACTTCCCACACCTTTCTCTGAGGGGCTTTCACACGCTCCACTTGTTTTCATGCCTTTTTTTCATGCAGGTTTTTTTTTTTTTTATTGTATTTGCTCTAGCTTTTGGGTTGCTTTTTTTTTTCTTTTTTTATTAGTATGCAAGCAGGTTTTTTTAAGTATGTTTTTGATTGAAGACAGAGGATGTTTGGGGTTTCGTATTTCATGTTATTTACTACTTTAGAAAAATTGTTTTGTGAAATAATTTTGGAGTGGGTTTTGTTATAGTATTTTTTTAGTGATATTATATGATTGTGATATTTTTTCTTCCTTTATATGGCAAGCATTTTCCTCTTGTTGTTCACATGTCTACAAGTGTCTTTTTTGAACGGGTTTTTTTTGGTACAGAAGTAGACTGTTTCACTGTCTGGTGTTATTTTTCCCTTCCCTTGTTTTTGTTGCTTCTGTTACATATGAGTCATTTTCATAATTTTTTCTGGAAAAGGTCCTGTTGCTTTTCTAAGCAATTCCTCTTCTATACTCTTAATTGCTTTATTGGCGGACTTGGTAATGTTAGGTTAATGGTTGGACTGGATGATCTTAAAGGTCTTTTCCAACTTAAACGATTCTATGATTGTGTTTTCTCGTCTGAGCAGGGTTTGTTTTGTCGACATTGCTGTTAGATTTAGCTTCTTGTCTTTGACCTGAAAGGGGATTTTCAGAGCTGTTATTGTATTCTCTTAATTAATTACACTTTTTATTTGCACATTGATTTGCGCACATAATGCTCTCTGATGATCTCTGTTTTCTCATTTTCTCTCTTCCAGGCATCCCATACTCACGATGCAATCACTGAGGCTGCTCAGCTGATGAAAGAGGCTGTGGATGATATCATGGTTACCTTAAATGAAGCTGCAAGCGAAGTAGGCATGGTTGGAGGTATGGTAGACTCGATAGCAGAGGCAATGAGCAAGGTGAGCATAGAAATCCAGACCCTCTTTTCGTTTTGCACATGAAAGCCGATCCACATTGCAGGGGGTTGGAAGAGCTGCTGCTCATTCACTTCGGCGATGGTTGGTAACTGACACGCTATGACCGGAAACCTATAGATTCTTTGATTTTGCAGATTGTGAAATCAAACTGATGTGTGTGATGGTGCTTGTGTTAACAACCTACACAGTACCTGTTGGTAGAATTATTACAAAATATTATTATTCGGTAACATGCTGGTATTTAGCTGCGATCTTACCTCAACTGGCCTTTTGGTCTTGCTTCCTCTTCCTACTTATCTGTCACGTTAGTCTTCTAAATGAACAGCAGGCCAACCTTGAAGCAAACTGCTTTCAGAGAAGATGTCAAAGCCTGAAGTGCTCTGCTATGCTTTATGAAGTATTCTACTGAAATGTATAGTTGCAAAATGTAAATTACTTCAATCCAAATAATTGGCTTTTCCAATGTCAAGTTAAAGGTATGCAGGATTGAAGCCTTTGCCACGTAAAGGAATCTTACAGTACCTTCTTGCAGTAACATTTTGTTTCATAACTGTTGCATGTTCCTTTCTACATTAACTGAGAACTACAGGTAGTTTGATCTTGTGTGAGAAGTTGACCTTGTGCTCAAAAACTCTGCGCTGTAAATTCTCTGCATTGTACATGCTCATAACATGGGCTAAAGTCTTTTCTGAGCTTCTCTGTACATCTTGGTGTGCGGTCTTCACTTGCATATTTTGAGAGAGAGATTATAAAAATGAATATGTAATACAATTTCATTATTATGTGTTAAGTATCCTATTGGTTATGACCTTATTATTTCTGCTGTATTTTTTCCTCTTTCTTGCAGCTCGATGAAGGTACACCTCCAGATCCCAAGGGAACATTTGTTGATTATCAGACTACTGTAGTGAAATATTCTAAAGCCATTGCTGTAACAGCACAGGAAATGGTAAGATATTTGGTTAGAACCAAGTACAAACTCTTTTCCCTATATAAAGAATGTGGAATGATTTGCACAGTGTTGTGAAACTTTATAATGCTAGTTTTCAGTAAGCTTATCTCTTTAAGGGTAATGGAGGAAAGGAAGTGATAATTTTGTCAGTTTAACTCTTGGATCTTAATGGCGTGATCGTAAGGGTGGCCCTCTACAGGAAGAGTGCTGGATTGTGTTGTGGCTCTTCACAAAACCTTTTTATTTGGCTCATTTGCTATGAGAAATAAAAGGAAAATATTTCACCTACATGTTTTTTCATCAGCCTGTTTAATTGTCACTGAAATATCACCTTACATTTATTGATGACTTGAGATTACCCTTTCACACTTGCTGTTTCATTTAGCCTGTGAAATAACGTCAATATTTTCAGACCCCTGTAATACTTATGAATGAACACATATCAACATCTCAAATTGTTCTTTTCTTGCATTTCTGTGACTCACCTGGGTTTAACAAAAGAAAAAAGGACACTTGTTGAATCGAGATTTTCTTAACTCATGTTTCACAATAATGCTCACCATGACATGTTTGCCTTTTGAAGAGTACTTCCTTTGCTTGTTGTTTTTAAGAGAGACAAGGGGACTGTTTATGTATGCTACAGACTGGAATTTTTACAAAACTGATTGCTGTTGCAATCAAGACAGGTTGATGATTCTGTTATCTACGACATTGCAGCTTATTGGCAAACAGCATAAATTTGTCTAAACTAGTTTTGCCCCAAGGATGGAATTCCATGGCTTTTACTAACATAAATTGGAGACAGAAGAAGTATCTCTGTTAAAAGGTAGGCTTTTTCTAAAGAGAGATTTAGTTATTTATACTGAGGTTCTACTGAGGCATTCTGCATAGCCCTATTTCTTCTTGGTCCTCTTCCCGTATCTTAGACATGCTTTGCATCGGTCCTCAGATTTGTTTTCCATTTTTGTGCTCCCATGCTGAGATTGATGTAGGCTAGTTCACTTTTGACAAAATAAGGTGGCTGTAACACACAAAACCCACTTCCCCACCCAGTCCGTTGGTAACTGTGTACCTGGCCCGTCGCCCCGCTGTTTCAAAGAGTGAATTACCAGCTCTAACTGCTGCTCTTTGATTACTCCGTATGTTCTGCAAGTGCCTGGTTACCGTGACTCTAATAAAGCATGTTTGCTTGAGTTTCCTCATGGAATTCTTGCTGGAGGACAGGTGCCTTACATGGCAAGTGGTTTACCCCATTTCATCAGTGTGGCCAAACACATGAGTGTGCTTCTAAGCTGGAGTGTATTAACAAATTATTCTCATGCCTGTCATTTTTCTTTTTCTCTTGCCTGTGTTCTTTTTTCAGATGACTAAGTCGGTTACTAACCCGGAAGAGTTGGGAGGACTTGCATCACAAATGACCAATGACTATGGGCATTTGGCTCTCCAGGGCCGAATGGCTGCAGCTACAGCAGAACCAGAGGAGGTCTGCAGTTTCTAGACCTCTTTATTCTCTGTACACGGTGGCATCAATATGGGTATTCTTTTACCTTAGAGAATGCAATAAACACAGAGCAAAGTGACAAGGCATATTCACCTCACTCGATTGCAGCAACACGCTTGCAACCATTGCCAAAGGCAATACATCCCTTGTATGATCAGACAGAATAGGTTTTGAACAATTGGGTAATGTGTTTTCTTTCAAATGTCTTTGCGATGATTCTGAAATGAATGCAGTGAATGTGTTTCCACTGCCTTTGCTTCGTTAGACACTTTTGTATGCAAGCGCTGTCTATGCGATGTGTGCTCTGATAGGCAGACAGATGCGCTACCTCTGGCCCACTGAGACTTGAAATGTGGGACAGGGCAGCACATCTGTTCCCAGAAGAATTTCATTTGGCCTACTGTCAGTCGATTAAAACCACGACACGAACGGAGTCAATAGTATAGACACACATTGGCTATACAGATCTGTCTCTTCTACGATCTACTTCTGTATTTGCTAAAAACAGACTTTAAGACACAAACTGTTCGCAGCCAGACTAAAACTCTACCGAGTTTGTTTTCAGTGGACAGAAAGGAACCGATGAGCGTAGCAAAATTACTTGTCTTTTCAAAATGCTGTGAAATCTTAGAACATCAAGTTATTTACATGTATGTGTTGTAAGTACCATTTCCTTCTTACGGTTTGTGGAGAGATACTTATTTTAGTCTTTGATATCGACTTTTCCTTCCTCCAAATATGCTCTCTATTCAGCGTGTCTTCACAGGTTGCGGCAGGGCTACACACAGTACTACAGAGTACATATTTACTGATAACACACCTCAGTTTTACCGCTGCTTGTGTGCACAGGTGCATAACAACAGGAATTAGGATTTACTACAAAATGTTTTCAGTGAACGTTCAGAATTTCAAACTGGCTTCGCTTCTGTTTCTCTTCAGCTCTCCCGTTGCTCTCAATACATGTGAATTGTCTGTGGAACAAGTTTTCTCCTAGGAGTGCTATGAATCAGCAGATTTTTAACAACACTTAGGGACTATGCAAAAGACATGACATTTTATTTCATAAGTGTGGCTTTTTATGCTACAAGCCTTGTTATAAGAATTACCCAAAGAACAGAAAACTTTTGTCAAAACCTCGATCCAGCTTCAGAAAGAAAGAGCTTGCAATAATATTAGGCAATTTCATAGACCGGAACAGAACCTTCTAAATTGCTTGGGGCTTTCGCTTACAGACAACTTACAAATGCAAAGAAAACTCTTAATTATTTACTATACAGCTTTTGTTTTGATGGATTACAAATATATATATGCTTTTTTATCTTGAGCGTAAGCGATTTCAAGTATACCTTCCTGTCCTGAAAGTGAGATGCAGGCAACCAGTAGGAGCACGAGTATCTTTTCCTGATGGGACATCTTTTGTACCTCAGAGTCAGAATGCGATGCAGGAGAAGTGGGTTCCCCATGCAGTCTTACACACCTCATGCTAACAGAGGAGTATGGACTATTCACCTCAGTTGCATTAACCTGTTACAGTAGTTGCTGCATATTCTCTGAGCACAACTACAGAAATCCCTTCACCTCTCTCTTCTCATTGCATGCCTCCAGTCATGAAGCATAGACAAACTTTGTCGAGATGGGGTAAGAGGGTATTTCACCATCACCGGGTGTATCTGATTATCTAGGTAAAAGACCTTCAAAGAGTTTTGGACTTTGTAATTATGTTCCACCGCTGATAGGCTACTTGAGTGTTTCATGCTCAGTAGCTACATGAAAACCAACAGCTTGCATTTGGCTTGATATTGTTAAATTGAATTACCATTTCTGCACGTTACTTTCTGCCTGAAGTTGAAATAATTCCATTTGTTATACTAATGGCTGTGATTCCTGCTTAGTTATTAATCCCAATACACACCTGTATGCCTAGGTACATCCAGGTACTAAAACTCTGACGTGTTTCTAAACAGGGACTGCACAGCTTATGCTGTAGGGTTATTAATAAATCAGAAGCAGTTAGGGCAGGATTTCCCACATTTCAGTGCTCTGCATGTATGTGGTCAGTTCTGGAGAGTTGAGACTCTGTGCGGGATTCAAAACCAAACAGAGTCAAAAACTTTTTGACCCAGTCTCAGAAGTGTAGAGTAACTGTGTACTTTTTACCCATCGTACATACATTGAATACAGCTCATGCAGACAGTACAGTTCTGGGAGATGAAGTAGCATTATTCAAATGTGGTGAAGTTGTGTGTACTGAATTACGTACACTTGACTTGGGTACATGCCTTACGCCTTCTCTTTCCTGGCGTCTGGTTCACTAGTGCTTCTGTTTCATCAGTAAGCCTTTTACAGGGTTGTGCTACATGTGTAGATGGTATTACACCTGTCCTTTTTTTCTGATCTCTGCAGAGAGTATAGCGATGGGCGGAATATTGGTAATAAAGATTCACCAGAGTGACCATGTTTCCATTTGTGTTGACCCAATGTACCAGCATGACATTTATTTATTCACTTCGCTTCTGTTTCCTTTTTCCCTGTACCTCCTTTACTATCTAGATAGGGTTCCAGATCAGGACTCGGGTGCAAGAACTTGGCCACGGCTGTATCTTTCTTGTGCAAAAAGCTGGAGCTCTCCAGATTTGCCCTACAGACAGCTACACCAAAAGGGAGTTGATAGAATGTGCTCGTGCTGTCACGGAAAAGGTAAGGCATCCCTCTATGTTGCCCCACGGTGTTTGTCTACTGAGCTTCCCCAGGGAGTAAACCAGTCAAATTGTTTGGGTTCAGGAAATTACTTTTTTTAAACTTCCCATTATAGTACAATACTGGCTGAATTGTTCTATAATAATAATATAATATAACTATAATAGTACTGGCTGTACTAAGTTCTTACTTTTCTTTCAAGTGCTCAGTGCAGTTCATGTGCTAGAGTAGCCCATGATTAGCCCTTGCTCATGTCTTGTAATAAAACTTCAGCCTCATACCAGAGGGAGGCTGGTCCAAAACTAATCCCTAAGACATGACATGGCACTTGTGCCTTGCGAGGCACTCCCTTGGAAATACTAAGTCCCCATGGATGGCCACAGTTACCGAGATGAGGTTGGTCGATGACACGTGATTTCATGCAGCAGTGTCCTCCCCTTTTAAGACTGGGCCAAGCTATAACGCACTTAGAGCTGCATTTTCAAACTGTCTGGGATTTCTTGGTCTTTGGAAATGTCCATGTCAAACAGATGGCCTGGGTAGCTTGGCTTTGCTGAACGTTTTTGATGGCCTGCCTCTCCTTTTGTTGGGCACAAACACTGAGAGTCAAATGTCAGTTACTTTTAGATTTCTCCAAACATGACTTGTTCAGCCTGTGTTAGTGTGCTCTCAGCTGTACAAATTTTCTACCATGTCATGCCCCAGGAGTATCAGCAATTCCAAATTTAGGCAGGGGTAGACAGTGTCTTGTAAGAAGGGTTAAAGCTGATAAGGAGAGTAATAATGAATCACAGGGACAACCTATTCGGGGACAACTTTGAATCTGAACAGAACCTCAAGAAGAACTGTACTATTAGGAGTCAGTATACATATCCCCAGACATGGATCCTTGCAAAAACAGAATTTAGGACCATAGTATGGCATGAGAACAGCATCCCAGCTGCAGAGCTTTGTAAGTACAGTGTTAATTAGATGAAATGGAATCTCTAGCTTTTTTAGTGATCAAAAATATTCCTAGATATAAAGCCATATATTGTCTTTTTATAATTTTCTATTAATATAACAATATTTAGTATCTGGATTCAGAGAGTCTATACTTACTGCTTCTTTGATGTTAAAGTTTATATCAGTGTACTGTACGTGCCTCCTGGAGTGCTTGAAGCCGGTGTTTATTTGTGCATGTTAGGGAAAAAGCAGTAGCTCTTGGGTCTGACATTTATCCTGGCAGAATTTCACTACATTACCTCTTGGCTGTATTTCAAGGAAGTTTTAACTGATGTGCTTCATCCTATGATGAACAGATTGCGTCATTCTGTCTGAAAAGTGGACTTCCCAGCTGAAGTCCCCTTTAATTTGAGACAATCTTTAGTCATCACAATGACTACTGTACAAAGGGAGCAGGTAAGGGAAAGGGGAAGGAGACGTTTATTAAAATTTGCAAAATGACACTGCGGAATGAATTTCCATTGTTGATTCCAGTCATGTTGAAGAGCTCACTTAATATCCCATAATGAGGCTTTCTTTCGATGACTGCCTTGTTGCTTTATGTTGTTTCCAGGTCTCCTTAGTTTTATCTGCCCTTCAAGCAGGAAACAAAGGCACGCAAGCCTGTATTACTGCAGCTAGTGCCGTGTCTGGGATAATTGCAGATCTAGACACCACTATCATGTTTGCTACTGCTGGAACCCTTAATGCTGAGAACAACGAATCATTTGCAGACCACAGGTCAGTGTAACTGAAAAAGATGGAAGAGCACGTGCACAGGAGAACAGTGGAACTGGCAGAAGTGACCGGCATGTGGAGATAAATTTTTTACCTTTCTAGATTCCCATGAATGAAATTGAATGAGGCAGTGGAGTGAGAAGAGAAATAGGAAAATTGGGATATAGAGGACAGCAAACTTCAATTTGGTTATTTCTGTGAGGAAGGAATTTTAAAAAGCTGGGGAACATCTGCAGAGAGCACTTCCAACAGAAGACCATAACTGTAGCACTATTTTGGCTTTTTTTTTGGTTTTATTCAAGCTGTCTTATTGCATAGACTGCCATGCGCTGTTCCAGTAGCTAAAATTAGCTGTCCGTGACATTGAAGAGGAATCTTATATATACTTTTTTCCATCAGCTGTTCTTGACTGTCTGGCTGTTTGTCTTGCTAAATCATGCTTATGGATAATGCTGTTGTGGACAGCAGTGATGGAAACGGCACAGCTATGCCACGCATTTTCCCCTTTGGCAGAGATAAGCCCATTTTCCCTTCAAGTAGCATCTGCAACAAAATAATCCCATAGCATTTTTCATCACATTAATAGATTGGCAGCATCTGTTACTTCCTTTGCAGTAAAACCCAGGGCTTCACAGCCGAGACACTGACTTACTGCTTCGCAGCCTAGTTGGCCTATGTGACAATTGCATGGCCAGCATTTATTTCCCACCTTGCCAGTTGCTCAAGAAGGAGGAAAGATGCAGTGGGATGTGAGTTGCTGCCATTCTGCAGACCGAAAGTCAGGGATTTTCATACAGGTGTCATTAATTTCCAGACTGACATTTTACATTAATATGGTTCTAGTTCTCAGTTAACTTGACTCGTTTGTGAAGTGTACACTCAAAATCGTTTCTTCTTTTACCCAAATGTTGCTTTGGATTTGTTGTCCTGACATGTCAAAACATGTATATGGTGGGGGGGAACCCTGACTAGGTCACATTCTCTGTTCCTTTTGTCATTCTTGCTACTGCCTTCCTCACAAATAATTATTTTTAGTTTCCTTATAATATGTTGATTAAGATGGAGGTTTGACAGCTGTTACTTTCCTCAAAACATGGGCAGATTTTCTTTTGGTGTTAAAATGCAGTGCTCTCTTCTGCTACTGCCCTACCTCATTTCTTTTCAAGATGGGGTCATTTTAATAAACTGCCTTGCATCTAGCCCAAAATATATTGCTACTGTTTTAACAGTCATTGGTTTTTTGGGTTGGTGTGTTTTTGGTTTTTTTTTTAACTTGCAACCTGGCTTGTGGTATATTATCATGAGTGGACACTGACATGATGACCTACATCAGCTCTTTTATGTGGCTGTTAGTCACCATAACATTGAAAAACACGGGTTTTTTCCTCTTTTCCTTTTCCACTTCCTTCCCTGCTTCCTCTTTTTTTTGCTACAGGGAAAATATTCTGAAAACAGCAAAAGCTTTAGTTGAAGATACAAAATTGTTGGTTTCTGGTGCCGCCTCAAGTCAGGACAAACTGGCCCAAGCAGCTCAGTCATCAGCTAACACCATCACTCAGCTTGCTGAGGTAGTGAAGTTGGGAGCGGCTAGCTTGGGTTCTGATGATCCTGAAACACAGGTGAGATATTTTACAATTTTTCTGATACTCTTAAAGGGACCAGAGACAGTTTTCCATTGATAAGACTTTGTGGGACTTCGGCTTTTAAGCAACACAATAGGGTTCATCTCTTCTGGGACTTTTCTGTGTTTACTCAGACATCACTCCTTGTTTTAGAATGCAGTCAAGAGGTTAAAGCATTGAGTGGAACTAGACAGTTCCAGTTTAGAACTAAGCACTTTCGTTTTTATTTCATGGGTGTGTTCCAGCTGGGATGCTTTTGGCCAAGTATTTGTCTGGTTTTTAATAAGTTGTGATTGGACCCCTGACTCATCCCATTTTTGTTCTGAAGAGCTTGCATGACTTTAAAACCACTTATCCAGCTTACAGCTGGGCTGTGCACTATGTGTTACTTGTGTAAGCTAACAAGCTATTGCCATCCTCCATATGAGAGTTGTTTTTCATTTAACTCAGTAACTTCTGCCTTCAGCGTAGATTATCTCAAATATTTCTTCAGTTTTTTGTTTGGGTGTTGGTGAAATGGAGGTTGGCAAGCATGTTGCAGATGTGCCTGTGGTGGTACCAAATTAGTTTGAAAAAGCCTGCTCATTTGCATAATGCTCTGACAGGGATGTGTGTTCTGTTTTGCTTGACCTGTGTAATGGACTAAACTTCAGAGATTTTCCTCTATAGGAAAATACTGCTGGAAGCACTCTTCTTTTTCTTTTTCCTTTTTTTTTCTTTTTTATAACAGAAGGATTTCCATAAACTAGCAACATTCACCTAAACTAGCAAAGTATTTATCACATTGTTCTTCTCTGTATGTAAAAGCTGAGAATACAGTACTTCGAATAAAAACTATTGTGCACAAGTAATTATTTATTTGGAGCAATCTTATATTGCCAGTTTGAAATCGTAGGTGCATCATGTGTCCTAAATGGAGCTTTTCTAATAGCTTTGGCACACGATACTGTCACAACATTTTTCCGTAGTAGCAACACTTACTTCACCTGGTGCGATAGACTTTCAGATGTCTTACACAGCAAGTTGCCACACAACTTAGGCAGTTGGACAACAGAAAATCACATCAATCTGTCCTGCATGTCAGGTTCTTTTCTCCTTTCTATGGGCAAAGAGCTTCTGAGATACCAAAAGCTAAATAAACTTTTCAGGAAAAGCAAAGACTTCACTTCTATATAAGTTACAGTAAACTACAAACACGAAGGAATGAGGCTGGTTTTGTATTATTTATAATGCTACAGAAATACAGTTATTGAGAAGTGATTGTTCCAAACCTCTTTTTTTTTTTTTCCCTGAGCTTTCTCATTTTTCATGCATCTTTCAACATTTTCCTTAAAATGAACTCTTCTGAATTCCAGAAAAATACTAAAACCATCTGATTTTCTACTAGTAGAAAGGGTAAAGGAGAAGGATTTGGAGGAGAGATTTATTCCAATAATACCCTAAAATAATTAACAAGCCTGTTGTAGTGTCTGTATTTTGTCTAGGACTTCTGTCTTTGAGCTTGGGTTAGGAGACAATATCTCCGGATTTGACTTTTCCTGACTTTAAGGCCAACCAAGTTACTCAGCATTTCAGTGTGCATAGCCTCTTACAGAGGTTCAGCTTCCTTTTCCTGAAAGAATGTCTCCCTCTAACACCTAGCCATAGCAAGTACATTTGATCTTTTAGTAGGTGATTTCAGAATGGGTACATAACTGTAGCATTAAAGTGTAAGCTTATAATCAATCTGTTTTCTTGCTCTTGTCCCAATTCCACCCAAAGGGTGAAGAACATGGAGACAAGTAAAACCCCTCTTAGGGAAGCTCAGAGGAAGGAAATCCTACCTGCAATCAGCATTTCCATTTCTTCACAGGAAATAGTCATTTATAGATTCTGACCAGTTGTATGAAATACTGTAGCTATCAACAGAGCTTTTCCTCTTCTAAAATATTATGTCTTTTACTGGGGTAGAGGGAGGGTGGTACTATTTGTGTGCGAGTAGTAGATTTTTCTTTTTTTTTTTTTTAAACTGTGTTCTAAAAATCACACCCTCATCCAGGCTACCATTTCTTGTCTGAGGCTTATGGCTGTTTCTCATTCCTACAGGTTGTCCTGATCAATGCTATCAAGGATGTTGCAAAGGCCCTTTCTGATCTCATTGGTGCTACCAAAGGAGCTGCCAGCAAACCAGCAGATGATCCATCCATGTACCAGCTGAAAGGTGCTGCCAAGGTAAAACCTTATTCTTACATTTTATTTGAAAGTATCTGTGCCGCCGTCACACTTGATAGACATGTGAAGCTTGGATTTCTGATTGCCTGAAGTCTCATCTTTTTCTTTGTTTCATTATCATCCTGGGATGATACAGAAAAATAAGAAGACACTATTGAGTTTCCGTGAAGCTATTATTTTTTATAGGCTGTCAGATGACTTCTGTGGGTTTGATGAAAGAACTGTAATCTTTCCAAAGAGAAACTTCTTTCTTTTGCAAGCCTGTATCTCAGGACAGATTCTCCTTTAATAATGTTATAGACTAAAATTTATCCAGTATAAAATGGTACCTAAATACTACATTCTAAACAATGACATATGCTCAGGATAAGCATGCGGCCTCCTTACTCAGACCTTACAGTTTTGGGAAGCAGGGGAGGAAGGGGAGAGAGAAAGGGAGGGAGGGGAAAAAAACCCTCCAATAACTCTACAGCAGGGTATTGTGTATTTCTGACCCCTCTCTCCTAGATCTTTCCAGGAAGTACATAGGTATCAAAGCTCAAAACTTGCACAGATTACACCATACCTGGGACATCTTTGTGCTTTATTTTCCCTGCACCTGAGATGTATTATGTCATTTGCCTCACAAAGATCTTGTGGCTTCATGTCTACAAAATATTTCCAGATGTGGAGATTTAGGTGGTATTACTTCTGCTTTCACATTATGAGAGTGTGGTGGCAGCTTCTTGCTTGGCTGGAAGCTCTTCTCGCTCTCATGTCTGTTGCTTACCTGTAAGACTTGTGCCTCTCCCTTTCAGAGCACATAACAACAGTATACTGTTGAGGTACTACTTGATAATGACCCATCTAGTCAAGAAAAGTGGCTTCTTAGCTCTTCCTGCTATGAAGAGCTCTCTGTGGTTTAATTCATAATTGTCAAGAAGTTGGCCTTTCTGTCTCTTCTCTTTTCATTGTAGCTATCATTTGTATCTCAACATAGTGGGGTATAGGAAAGGTGTCATTATTACAGTGACGATTAGGTTATTCTGCATCAGGGCTATTGGGTTTGTAATGGGAACAGTAACACTGATTCTATGTCTGCATTTGAGCTTCACACTGGTGTATTGCTGCTTGCTTACCTGGGGTTTTGTCTGATTGCAGAGAATGTACTGGGTAAATTTCAAAAAGAAATACCATACCTCAATTCACATCTCTTTCAGCTTGCAGTGTAAGGTGCAGGAAGAAAAGACACTAACATAGTCAATCTGTATAAGAGACCTACCCTGGAAATGTTGTGAATTTTCCTTTTTTTTGTAAATTTTTTGCCAGAACACTCACACTTAAGATGGCATCACTCTGCAGTTAGTTTTGCTACCTTTCTGCAACTTACAGGGAGCTTTCAGAAACTGGCCAACAGGAGAGTTGATATTTAGTCCCATAGTAAGTACAGTTCATGAAGCCTCTTAGGCCCTATTAGAAGTAATAATGCTACCTAGGTTAATTTGCCTTGCTTCATACCTTGCTGTCTCTGAAAAGTGGGAGGAAGGAATCACGTGTTTTTGTCTTCACCTCTCTCTTCTTCAGGTGATGGTAACAAATGTCACATCGCTTTTGAAGACTGTTAAAGCAGTAGAAGATGAAGCTACTCGAGGGACAAGAGCTCTTGAGGCCACAATTGAGTACATCAAACAGGAACTCACGGTACAGAACAAAAGAGCCATATGTGGCAGTTTTTGAAAGTATGCTCTTACACTCAAACTAGCCTGCCCAGGCACTCCTCCTCAAGCTATGCTTTACTGCCTTGCAGTGCATCTGATGCAGTTTGGTTCTCTCTGCCTGTTGCAGATCATCTCTGAAAGTACAATTACAATGCCACTTCAGCCTATCTTCTTTCAGACGTCACCAGCCCCCACTTTGAGATTTGAGATGCTACCATCATGTATAAATCTGGAAGCAACTGCTTCTTTGTTCTTTAGACGTTAAGCTTTCACTACAGATACTCTCTTCTGAGTCCAATGCTGTTCACTTTTTTTTGATCCCGGCTTTGGTAATGTCTCCTCAGTATCATGGCCGTATTGCACCTGCAGTTTAACCTTGTTTCAATTTTTCCTTTATTATGAAATGATACTACTGGTGATACAGAGCCTGCTATTTGATATTCTGTGTGAGCAGGAATTAGCAATAGCATGGAATTTTCTCCCAAATTAGGTGTTAGACCATGGCAATTGTTTTCCTTCCTCTTTAAGATATAGAAGTATAGGCTGCAGCTGCAGCTTTCAGTTTTTTGTTTTTTTTTTTTTACTAGTACTCTAGTCAGTGACATAAATTAATACCTGCATGTTTATGAAGAAGCCTGATTTTTTTCCCTTCCTTTACTTACAGTCCATTTTTATAAAAAAACTGTAGACACAGTCTTCAGCAGAAAACAGTTGTTGTGTCGTCTGTGGATTAGCAATTCTTACACTGTAACTGCACTGGCACAGTTTTGTCTTGTCAAGTGCTCTCCATAAAATATCTATTTTTTGTTGTGGGAGCAATGCTGTTGTAATGAAGACATAAGTCTTGTTCTTTTTTTTTTTTTTTTTTTTTAAATATCTATATATAGTTGTTGGGAATTCATACAGTGTCTGCAGCGGTAAAAACTCCTGATTCAGTACCTGATCAGGAATGTTCTGTACATCATCTAGTGCACGTTACTGTCATGTATCCTCATGAAGGCCTGGCTAAGTTACTTTCCTTCCTGTAACTCTGATCTAAAACCTGTCCAGATCTGTCACTGAAGGATTGTGCATTACCACATCTGCTTTCTCAATCTGGTTGGTATCTCTTTGAAATGTTCCTCCTCTTCCTTTTCCTTTTGTCAGCATTGCTAAGGAATGGGTCTTTGGTGGTGTTGCCATCTCTTTCATGAGGAGAAAAGTGGAATAGTAGGAGAGGGTCGAGAGGAACCGAGGGTGGCACATGTGTGCTAAAGAAAACGTGTCGAGCTTGACTTGGAATGCCAGGGACTGAAGTTGAGCAACACTGAGGGATGTCCTTCACATATTTAGCTAGACTTTGTTTTTTAGCATCGCTTCCATTTCTGGAGAGAGAAAGTAAAAAACTGATGAACCGGGAGCATGGGACAGACCAGGCTCATTTTTGTCCAGACATTTGCATTCTGTGACCACTAGCCTGCTTAGATTGTACTCTGTGTAGTCAAGAAACCTCTCCTGATTAATTATGCACTCTGAATTGCCCCTGCACAGTAAAAGAATGGCAAGCAAATACAGACTAAAGCTTAGGAAAAGGAAATAATAGAGAAAAGTAAGGTTACCCAGCTCTTACTGCCTACATCTTACCACAGTTCATGTATTCCAGTATTCATGAAAGTAGTGCGTACTGTCAGATAATTTGAACTTTTTTCACATGATTCACCCTGCAAAATTATATCTTTAAGTTTCTAAGGGAGGCTAAGTATAGCGTAAGAGACAACACTCCACCTCTACTTTTTTAAGAGACATTTGAATATTTTAGTGATATTCTCAGTCTGCCCTGCACTGAGCTATCAAGGGCTTGGTAGGGCCCAGCCTTTGCAGGGGAAGGATCTCCTCATGTGAGTAGACCAGCATAACTAGCAGTCCAGATGAAAAAAAGAATATAATTAAAGGAATAGTAATTCTTTTGATCTTGTAATACTCTGAACAGCTGTCTGTAACAAACTGTCATCCAGGTAGTTAAAAGGCAGATGAGATGAATGGGTTAACCTTTTTTTGTATGCTTCCCTCAGCTTATTGTTTCTCTCTGCTGTCTGTAGGTGAGCAGGCTTATCAGGACCAGGCTTATGACAAGCAAGAATAATATTCAAGTACTCTGAATATGTTTCTAATTTCCTGCTGTTTGAAGGCTGCTTCTAGTTGCTGTCTCCTCCTCATGGTTGTTCTGCTTTGACTTGAATGGTATCAGGCTTCCCTTCTGCTTTCACTTTTAGGTGTTTCAGTCAAGCGAGGTTCCAGAAAAGACATCATCACCTGAAGAATCAATCCGGATGACGAAAGGAATCACCATGGCAACTGCCAAAGCTGTTGCAGCTGGGAACTCATGCAGACAGGAGGATGTGATTGCTACAGCAAATCTGAGCCGCAAAGCAGTAGCTGACATGCTAACAGCTTGTAAGGTAAAGATTCACTTCCTTGCCTAAGACTGATTTTTTTTTCTATGTGTGTGTGCGCCTCTAAATCCCTTGAATGTTACAGTTTCTGTTCAGTTTCTTTGTATTAATGCTCTGCTTTTCAGACGAGAAAGTTAATGGTTATGATAATTTTAAGGGAACGTCTCTCTCAGAAAGGGTTTTCTGTGCTATGCACAAAAAAAGAAGCATCACTAATATTGACCATTTTCTTTTTGTGAAAATGAGAAGTTTTATTTGACCTGAAATTTCCTAGTTTTCGGTCTCCTATTAAACTGGAAGACAAACAATCTGTGCAAGTAGTAGAATATAAGAATAATCCTATGGTCACAAATACAACTTAAATATTTCTAGGAACAGTGAAAGGAATGGTGAAAGGAATCACTCAAGTCTATTTTTAATAGTCCTTTCCTCCCTAACCAAACTTGTTGGTTTGCTTAATTTCTGCCGTGCTTTTCAAAAATGTGGTTTGCCTTTGCAGTAAAAATATTGGTACCCTGGCTTGAGCTAGGCAACTTTCAAAAACTGAGCTGCAAAACTGGGGGGGAAAGCATGTGTCATATAAATGGCTATTAAGCCATTTGGCTTTGTTCTGATGATAAAAAAGATCTAGGCATAAATAAAAAAAAGGGGGATTATAAAGGTCTCATTCCTTTTGGTCTTCAGTGGTAACATAAAAGTGCCTTTGCCTGTAAATTATATTTATTTACTTTTGCCTTTACGTGTATGGAAAATGACAGTAAAATAATGGTGCTCTCTGACAGTGTCTGATTTTCAGTATTTGGTCAAATCCTAACTGCCTATGTCAGTCCCAGATCAATTTTTAGCCTAATAGTGCCCAGGGTTAATTTTGTTTTTAAAATGATCCTCGTGCAAAAGTGCAAGTTCTAATATAACTTAGAACTGGATTTATACAAAGCCATTGAATTAAACTTTTTATTTTGACTTAGTTTTCTGACAGGATTTTTAGTATCTAACAGTTCTTGACCACGTTGCATGCTTCAAATTTTGACTGTCCTCTCCGCTTCATAAACTCAGAAGGACAACAAAACAAAGCAGCTCTAATTTGCATGGGAAAATTAAAAAAAACTGTGCTACTTACATGAGAACTACTATAGCCTAGTATGTCTTAGGTACAATCCAGATAATTGAAACTTTTAAGGGAGGCTAAGAACAGGTCATAGTTGTGCAACACTGACAAATGAAGTCAGACATGAATTCAGATGCTGAGGCGCACTAAACATCCTTTGTCATTTGGAAGTGGCTAGTGCAGACACATTTTTTTTTCGATCTCTCCAAACAGACAGCAAATTCTCAGGAACAGAATCCTCTGTTCCTATATCCTATCCTATAAACACACTTACATACACAATATGCAGGCTGATACATAATTTTGAACATTTAATTATGAACTTTATGTCTACATTTGCTTCCAGTTAATTTAATGGTTTTGGAGTTCATGCATTGCAAGTGGCCAACAGGATGAAACTTCCTGCAAACTGCACAATGGAGGTCTGGGATGCTGGAAAAGCATTTGTGATCTCCCAGGGAATTACCTTCACAAAGAAAGCAATCTACAGAAGGAAAATGGCTGGGAATCATTTTACTTACCTGTAATGACACACTGACAAGGACTAAGATCTAGTTTTGTCTTGTCTAGCTTTCCTAAAATGAAGAGCAGTTATTGGGCAAACAGGAGTAGAAGTCTCCAGGTATACTAATTTTATGCACTATCTAAAATGTATGACAAAATAGCTATGTCATTTAACAAAGCTTTTAAATGTACAGTTTGTACCAGACTTCATTTAGAATATCCTGTTTCTACAGATTTTGCTCAAACACTTAGAAATCTTATGCCATTGATTTCTACAAATTGATTACTGTTGTACTGGGTTTGCATGGCAAGGTTTTGGTAGCGGGGGGCTACAGGGGTGGCTTCTGTGAGAAGCTGCCAGAAGCTTCCCCTATGTCCGATAAAGCCAATGCCAGCCAGCTCCAAGATGGACCCACCACTGGCCAAGGCCGAGCCCATCTGACAGTGGCAGCGCCTCTGTGATAACATATTTAAGAAGGGCAGGGGGGAACCTGAGTAACTGCACCCAGAGAGAGGAGTGAGAATATGAGAGGAACAACCCTGCAGACACCAAGGTCAGTGGAGAAGGAGGGGGAGGAGGTGCTCCAGGCACCGGAGCAGAGATTCCCCTGCAGCCCCTGGTGAAGACCATGGTGAGGCAGCTGTGCCCCTGCAGCCCATGGAGGTCCACGGTGGAGCAGATATCCACCTGCAGCCCGGGGAGGACCCCTCGCCAGAGCAGGTGGATGTGGCCAAAGGAGGCTGTGACCCCGTGGGAAGCCCACACTGGAGCAGGCTCCTGGCAGGACCTGTGGACCCATGGGGGGCCCACGCTGGAGCAGTCTGCTCCTGGAGGACCGCAAGCCCGTGGAAGGGACCCACACTGGAGCAGTTCGTGAAGAACTGCAGCTTGTGGGAAGGACCCACGTTGGAGAAATTTGTGGAGCACTGTCTCCCGTGGGAGGGACCCCACACTGGAGCACAGGAAGAGTGTGAGGAGTCCTCCCCTTGAGGAGGAGGAGCAGCAGAAATGTGATGAATGTGTGATGAACTGACCCCAACCCCCATTCCCTGTCCCCCTGTGCCACTCAGGTGGGGGAGGAGGTAGAGAAATCAGGAGTGAAGCTGAGCCCGGGAAGAAGGGAGGGGTGGGGGGAAGGTGTGTTAAGGTTTAGTTTTTATTTTCTCATTACCTTACTCTGATTTGTTTGGTAATAAATTAAACTAATTTCCCCAAGTCGAGTCTGTTTTGCCTGTGACAGTAATTGCTGAGTGATCTCCTTGTCCTTATCTTGACCCGCAAGCATTTTGTTATATTTCCTCTCCCCTGTCCAGCTGAGGAGGGGGAGTGATGGAGGGGCTTTGGTGGGCACCTGGCATCTAGCCTGGGTCAACCTACCACAACTGTACATGGCATTTCCATGATAAGCCACATCCCTTGAATTTTAGGGATAGGAACCAGCAGTCTTAGCTTCACTATGCTGTAAAAGCTGTGCAATGCAGCACAACTTGGGTTTTGTGGTATTTTACAAATACTGGAGGGGTTTCCAATGTGATTAAGTTTGTACAATAAGCACTGACAAATAATCAGATTTTGTTGTCCTTTGGGCTAAGACAAAAGTGCACGTATATGATCTATGGTAGAATTGTATAGAACATAGCTCAGACTCCCCTGATATCAGGAATTTAAATTTAAGTTCTATTTCATTGCCAGCTGCCTAAGGCAAGTAGTATAAGGGATTTGACTTATTAGGAGTTATATATATGCTTGTGTTTGTTCTGCTATACATGAATTTACACTGACTATTACTAATTCTACCCTTGTAAGTGGATGCCATTTCAAAAGACAATGAGGTTGATTACTGCAGGATATAATGAACCAAGACAACTCTCGTTAAAGTCAGTGGAAACACTGTAATTACATTTACTGAGGGTTAGAGCAGGCCCTAAGATAATAACAATTTCTGTCTTTGTTACCTATTTGTATAAAATACTGACTATGCAGTAACTTGTGCTTAATATCACTATTTTGAATGATTGCTGTTGGAAAGAAAACAGGTATGAAAGGCCCATCAAAAGCATAGGAAATAATTGAAGTGAGTAATGACTTAGATCGTTACGTAGCCAGTAGACTGAGGGAAACAATTATTCACCTTTTCTCAGCGCTCATTAGACTGCATCTAGAATACTGTGTCCAGTTTTGGGCTCCCCGAAAGAAGAAAGCAACTGATTAAACTGGAGTGAGCTCAGTAGAGCCCACCCAGACGGCTGGGGCTGGAGCGCAGGCCCTGTGAGGAGACGCTGAAGAGCTGCCTGTTCAGCCTGGAGAAGAGACTGCTTTGGGGGGATCTCACAGCAGCCCTCTAAAACCTACCAGGAGATTGCTGAGAGGACACAGTGTTGGGCTATTTACTTGAGGTGCGTGGCAAGGGAACGAAACACAATGGTCAAAAATCGAAACACAGCAACTTCCAATTATTCCCCTCTGGGGATAATTAAGCATTGGGACAGGGGCCTAAAGAGGATATGAAATCTCCATCTTTGGAGGTTTTCAAAGACCTAAGTGATCTGGTCTGAATTTAATGTTGACCCAGCTTTAGGCAGGAGGTTGGACTACATGAATTCTCCAGTTTCCTTCAAACAGCACTGATTTTTTGACTTTGTCTCAGTACATTTTACCTTTTTTGACTTTTTTTTTTACATTTTTTGACTTTGACTTTGTCTCAGTACATTTTACCTCCACAAGTTATTCATCAGTGCTGACATGCTAGAAGTTGTAGTACTAGAGTCAAGTAGTGCTTGCTACCTTACTGTTTTGAAGAGAAAATGAGGGGTGATAGTGAAGAGAAGCCTCGACATGCGGAAATAAATGTGCATTCTGGTTCTTTGGACGCATGTTTCGGTTTCAGATGCTTCAGCAGGCTTTCTGTGCAAGTCTGGAGAAGTATTTCTGTTGCAAGTCCTAACTGCTGTAGTGAGATTTCTGTTGGGATGTTTCTGGGTTACAAAAATGCCTTCCTAAAAGGACTTTATCAGCTCTTTAGTCTGCTGTGAAGTGTATGGTTTGTTTTAAGACTCATTGAACCTTAAAAATGCTCCCAAAATATTCTGCTATCACTCTGGGCTATATATGCAAAGCATAAAAGGAAGTTTATATTTCTCTCCTACAGATGTTTGCTCTAATTGTGTGTGTAACAATAATACTTAAGTGCACAAGAGGCATATTGGGGTGCTTACAATGTATTTATATGAAACACTGGGGGATCCTTCTGCCCTATTTGAAAATGAAAAATAAGCTGTTCTGGATTTTTTGGGCTTCTGGAGCTTGTTTGAAGTATGGTGAAGATGGGGAAAATCCTATCCTGTTTCCTCCCATCTCCTTTCCCTTCAGATTATTTGTTGACAAGATGAAGAGATGCGGGCGGCTCGTGAGAGCCGTTTCGTGCTCTGCTGATCTTGAACTTCCCGGCAGAGGGAGCGCATAGACCAGCACCGGGCCCCGCTGACAGCAGCGCCTGCTCGTGATGTTGAGGGGTGCAGGAAGGGCTCCAAATAAGCGAGCAGTGAGATAATCCCCCGTCCCAGTGGAAGCTGTGAGGCTGCAGGGGCAGAAGGAGTTGTTCTGTTAGAGGAAATGCTAATTTTTAAGATTTTCAGGAAGTTTCACTTGTCAACAACTAGCACTTCTGTTCAATAAACAAGTTCCCTAGAAGTTTATTTTAGAAAATACAAGGCTTGAAGAGGCTGCAGTTTTCACTTTTTATTAAAAGTAAAATGGTTGAATTAGTCAGGCTTATGTCAGATGCCAGACATTACACTTAGTGGAAATCCTTAAGAAGTCAAAGAATTGACTCTGCTGCTGCTTCTCTGTATTGAAACAGATTGTTCCAGCACTGCCTATTGCTGTGTTAAATCCCTATGTCAAGCTAAAGCCGTTAATAAGCTTCTACTTACAATATGTTACCAGATAACAAAAAGCAGCTAATGCTTTTTTGGGGTGGGTGGGCAGGTTGTTTGATTGGGTTGGTTTTTGTCTCTCTCGTGTAGATTAACAATATCCTGGCACTTCCATAGCACTTTTAATCTGCTGTTTTCAAAGCTTTCTATAAGGAACAAACTATTATCTTTATCTTGCAGAATGGAGAAGTGAGACACCCACATTTGACCCACGCATTGGGCTGCTGGTTACCTCTGGCCCAAAGTCTTCTGGGGCCAGCCCAGTGCTTTGGTCTCTAAACCAGATGGCCATTTCTCCTTTCATTCCTTGATGGTAGGCTGTACAGGCTTACAATTAAAAAATTGGTTTTAGTATATTTCTAACCTGTAAAATGTAAACGGCCATTTGTGGGTGGCAAAACTACACTTAAAATTTTTATAGAATCATAGAATCGTTTAGGTTGGAAAAGACCTTTAAGATCATCCAGTCCAACCATTAACCTACACTACCAAGTCCACACTAAACCAATCAAGGGTTTAAACTAGACTAAACCATGTCCCCAAGTGCCACATCTACCCGTTTTTTGAACACTTCCAGGGATGGTGACTCCTCCACCTCTCTGGGCAGCCTCTTCCAATTCTTGACCACCCTTTCCGTAAAGAAATTTTTCCTAATTTCCAACCTAAACCTCCCCTGGCGCAGCTTAAGCCCATTTCCTCTCGTCCTAATGTTTGTTTGTATTAGTAAAAAAGAAGAGCCCCAATAGCATAGCCTTTGCACTGTAGAACACTATATATACACAACCCAAGAGCCCATTCCAGCCCCAAGATGTTTTCCAAGTGATAGATTTTCATTAGAAGAAATCATAAATCCTCCTGTTTTTTCAGATGGTTCTTCAAGGGTTTCTCTATTTGTTCCCAGCTGGCAGAAAGTAGTACTACTGCTGACAATACCTAAGGAGGGGCCCTAAGAAAGACTAGAGAGGCACGCCCAGGCAGGAGGATGTGCTGATAAAAGAAAAAGTGCTCCCAATGCCGTTTTCAGAACTGGAGCTCTGCTGCTCTCTGAGCACGGTTTGCTTAACACCTTTACAACAGAAACGGCTGGCCCTCAAGCTCAAATGTCATTTGCACGTCATGAAAAGTCTCTTCCCTTCTCTTTCCCCTATCTTCTCTTTGTTGACCTCCTCTTGTGGGAGCAGTTTTGGGACACTAATGTTGTTTTGCCTCCTCAGCAAGCATCATATCACCCAGATGTGAGCGAAGAAGTTCGAGAGAGAGCCCTGCGCTTTGGAACAGAATGTACCCTGGGATACTTGGAACTCCTGGAACATGTTCTCCTGGTAAGGAGTCGTCTGCATGCTCATAATGGATCCCCTTCAAGGAAAATAATCTCTCTGACCCCTTTCTGTAGTGGCTGCTATTGACACATTTTTATTAATTTGTCACAAGATTATGAACAGTTTTGTTATTCAGGGAAAGCAAGCTAAATAAACTCAGTAATTCAGCTCAAACTGTGAGACAGAAGGAAGACTGGAAGTACTTAAGTGGGACTGAATTCTGGATCAGATCTGGAGGCAGCACGGGTCCTGGCCTAAAAATGGTCCCCAACAAAGAAATTAAAATAAGACACTCTGGTATTCTTTTAAGCCACTTATAAGCATTTGACATATTAGGCACACTCCTGTCCCCCAGACTGAAGAGGTTACATAATCTTTGTCAAAGCACTTTTACATGCCTTTTGCAGTCCTGATTCCAGGACAATAAGAGGCACCTACTCAATGCCATCCCAAAACCCCAAGGCAGCACTGCCTCACAAAGAGCTCTCCAACTCATGCCAGATATGACACCCCCAAAGCTCCACATGAAACTTCTTCACACAAATCCAAAGACATGCATCCTGCTGTCACTTGGCTTTTCTTGACCATACATAATTATCACATAATATATTGTTCTTCTGTTGCTATTACATTTGTAGGAATGTGTGTAAATAATGTGATCTAAATCAGCAATCAGCTTCATGGACGCCCAGAGATTTCTTTTAAGTGGCTTTAAGCTGACATATTAAAGTCTGGGAAACTGAAATTTCCAGCCTCTAACTGCAGATTAGCAAATCCAAGTCAGCTTTACTGCTGAGAATACAGCATGTCTATTCATCTACATAAACTCATTGAAATATACGTAACATAGAAGTAAAGTCACAGTTATGCTTGCCACTAGCAGGGAAAATAGTTCAAGAAAGACTGAACTTGTTAATGTAATTCCTAGATGTCGTGG